TGCGCGGCACATGGGCAGCCAGGAGTGCAGTGCGTGGGTGGCGCTGGCCCCAGGCGCGTGGCGTATGGGCGGCCCCGGCCCTTGGGCGCGCGGCGTATGGATGGCCCTGCCCCCGCGCGTGCAGCGCAAGGGCTGTGCTGGCACTGGGCACGCGGCGTATGGGTGTCTCTGCCCCTGGGCACAGGCATGGTGCCGGCCCCGGGAGTGCAGTGCATGGGTGGCACCAGCACTGGGCATGCAGCATATGGGTGGCGCTGGCCCTGGGTATGCAGCCCAAGGGTGGCGCCAGCCCCAGGTGCGCAGCACATGGGCGGCCCTTCCCCCGGGCGCGCAGTGCATGGGCTGAGCCGGCCCCGGGCACGTGGCGTATGGGCGTCCCTGCCCCTGGGCATAGGCATGGCACCGGCCCCGGGAGTGCAGCGCATGGGTGGCACCAGCACTGGGCACACAACATATGGGTGGCCCCGCCCCTGGGTGTGTGTGCGGCCCTGCCCCCGGGTGCCCGGCACGTGAGTGGCCCCACCCCCGGGCGCCCGGCAGTCCCAAAAGGTTGGGAACCACTGTGTTATGTGATCTGTACTAGGGATGTAATAGTGTAATCAATTAACCGATTAAACCGACAAGCAAAAGCTTATAGGTTAATGCTATAGACTACACACATTTCCCTCTCTCCACACACACCCCCATGTTAGTAATTTTTTTTTAGCAGGCTGGCCAATAGCCAAGCTCAGTCCTGGCTCACACCAGGTCTGGGACCTACCCTCACTGTGGCTCTGCATTTAAACTGTATTAGGAGCTGGGCAGGCAGACCCCCCTAGATGTGGCACTAGGCAGCAGCACAGGATGCCAGGAAGCTGATACAGAGGCAGCAGCATGGAGTGGTAGGATCTTTGCCAGTCCATGAGGGGAGCTGTTTTTTTAAACTGGCTGCCCTTGTGGACCAGCTCCCTTCGCACTGTTGCCTCTGACACAGAGGTAGCAGCAGAGGGTGGCAGCAGCCTCTGTCTAGGAGGGATTAGAGCTCCTGGACCTGGCATGAGCTGGAACTATAATGTGCTTTGAATGTTGAGCCACAGCAGGGTAGGGGATTCCTCGGGAGTGGGACCAGAGTGCACTGGCTGCTGCCCCTGTCCCCGGGTACTATAGACTAGTCGACTAACCAATAAGAATTCATGAGGTTATTCGGCAGTTCATTTAACCTGTATTTAACATCCCTAATCTTAATAATTAATAGAAAATATTTGGTATCTTTGGCTTCTGTATTTGGTTTTGGGACATGGGTCATGACTCCAAGGAATAACCTGGCATCATGACCAGTTTTCCCTCTGTCATTAAGTGTCATTCATGCATTCAAGGAGCATAAGCTATTTTTATGTAAAAAGTGGTTCTTTGGCTACCAGTATCTAACACAGTACAATATAAAGTATTTTGAGGTGACCTTAAACACGAAAGGTGCCATGGGGAACTGCATTTTGTGCTATATATAATAGGTGTAAATATAATAGCAGCTGCAAGATTGGAAAAAAGCAAAGGGGAACTTTCTAAGGGTATGTCTACACTACAGCGTTTTGTTGGAAAAACATCCTTTTTTTCGACAACTTGAGGAATGTCCACTCTGCAGTTGTGTTCTTCTGCAAGAAAATCGAAAGAATAGAGGGGTTTTTCCAGCATTGGTAATCCTCATTCTACGAGGAAGAAGCCTTTTGTGAAAGAGCTCTTTTGCAAAAAGGCATGTGTGGAGGAGGAAGAGGGAGTTCTTTTGGAAGAAGAGGAAAGAGGAAAAAGCACAGGTGCCCTGGTGGCCATTCTGTCCATAGCAATCACAGCTTACATGCGAGAGAGCATCCATTCAGTCTGGATGCTCTCTTTTGAAAAAGCAGATCGTTTTTTTGATGCACGTTTGCAGTGTGGATGCTGTCTTTCAGAAGGTTTTTCGGAAGATCTCATCCGAAAAAAGCTTCTTCCAAAAGAAACCTGTTGTCTAGATGTAGCCTAAGTGAAAAATATCACTGAAAAGTCCTCATAAGTGATATATAGTAGTGGTGTATAAGATGTGCTGGACAGATTGTATTAAAAACTTATTTCAGATTCTAACAAACTAGTTGAGTGAGCACTCAGTTCAGATAAGGTCATCATGAATATCCGTTACAGCATACTATTTTATTTTAGATTTCTCCCATACTTTGGTCAGAATCGGAATGCTGTAGCCAATCTCAGTGTTATGATAGCTTTTTTTCCCCCCTTCAAAACAAAGTATGAGGTTGTAGTTAATGACAGTTCAGTCTAAATTTTATTGGGACTGAGAGAAATACTTAGAAAAGTTATTTTTACACATTTGTTATGGTAGTAACCATGTGTTATTGTCTAGAGTTATATTAATGATCTTTAAAAATTATATTTGCCAAGGCTTTGGCTTCCATATATTTAAAAACATGATTTATGAGCTAGTATGATTTACAGACAGTTTTGATAGACAGGTATGTATCAGCAAGTGAATGTAACTAAACAGGTGCAGATTTAGAAACAGAAATTAAATATAGAGTTTGGCAAGTGAGTGACTCCATATAGTAGTTACACAGTGCTTTCCTGCTGTTACTATTATAGACATGAAAATTAAATATCAAGTATATTACATCACCTTCTAATAATTTCATTATTTTAAATTACAAAAAAGATTTTTTGGGGGTAGATCTTGGTGTTAATATATTACTTTAAGAAACTGCTCTAATCTGAAGTAGGGATGTGAAAGTGTAATTATGTACAAGGTTAAACGATGAGTCTGGGCTCATTGGTTAATGTCCATGG